AGGGGGCAGCGGGTCCGGACCCCCTGCAAGGCGGGGAGCCGGGGAGGTGTCTGCGGGGATGGATGTGCGGGGGGAAGGAGATTCGGAGGGGAGCCGGGCTCCGGGAGAGGCAGCAGGCAGGGGACGAGGTGTGATCCTAGCTCCTCTCTGCGAGAACGGATCAGAGGCTCTCGGGATGATCCGAGGCGGCAGGAGCTGCTGCAATCAACTTGACTGCAGCCAGACCTGGGGGCTACTGGAGAAACCCCTTGGAGCATCTGGAGCTCCCCAAAGCAGGGGCTTAGCCAGGGCCAAACTCCCTCCCCATCTGAGAGGAAGAGGGGGAAGATCAGGGAATCCACCTTGACGGGGGAAGCAGTGTGGGGAAGGGGTGTTGCTGGCAGCATAGCAGAGAGAGACAGAAACTGCCCTGGGAAAGGAGCAGAGGGAAGTGAGCACAAGTGTGCAAGGGCACTGCCTCCCCTCTGCCTTCCACTCCCCTCTGCCCCACTCAATTCAGAGGCAGCAGGCAGGTTTCTAGAGGAGATGGAGCACAAAGCAGAGCGAAACACCGTTCTTCACCTTGAGGGAAGGTCGGTGTTTCTGCTGGAGAAGCTCACAACCCGCAGAGCCCCGCTCTCCTCCTGTCCCGCCAGCAGTGCCCTGCTGATGTCTTGGTTCCTGGGTAAAGCTCTTCCCTCCCCCTCCAGCTCCTGCTGGGAGGGCTCTGAGCTCCCCTGGCCAAGGCTGCTGGGCGCTGGGCTCCCTGCCCTGAGGCTCCACTGCGCGGGAGGGCAGACATTCCTGCGCCCACCTCCACCTCTGCCGCCGCGCAGTGCAATTCCAGACGATCCCTCCAGAGGGTCTGCAAGGGGACTGCTCGTCCTGACGGAGCAGGGCCACGCTGAGGGTGCGGGGCCCGGGGAGCATCGCAGGGCCCACGCCAGGAGGAGCGCTTGCCGATGGCGCTGCCTGGGCCCTGAGTGGTGCCCAGAGAGGGATCCTGGCTGCCCACTTCTTGCATCTGGTAACTGGAGCCCTGTTTCAGTGTCACCTGATGATTTCTGCGGGGTCTGAGCATAGTTCAGGCAAATTCATAGCACATAAGGAGGGGAAAGGGAGAGGAAGGAGAAATGGGGATGCCAAGGTGGAGATACACTCCACACTGCTGTGCCACATGCACAACTCATCCAGGGAGACACCATGTGAGAAAGCTGGCCAGGTAGGAGCATGAGAGGACCCAGTGCATGAGCAAGTGCTAGCGTCCAGCAGAGCCATAGGCTGAGCCGGCTGTACTAACAGTAGAGAGGTCATCTGCAGTCTGACTTGGAGCAGTTCTTGTTTCATTGGGGAGCAGAGAAATGTTCAAGCTGCCTGGAGAAAAAAAAAAGAAAAAGAAAAGAAACACCTTGAAAAAATTTCTCCCTTGCATTCTCCCCCACTTATGAAAGCTCTAGGATGAGTTTGTGCTGAGGGTCCCTGAACACCTTGTGTGGGGCACAGGAACAGGGTCATGGTGGAACCGGGGAGCTTAGGGGCTGACTCAGGCATCCCTATGGCAGCAGGACTCTCCTGGGGGCATCCCCAGCCTGTCCCTGTGTGCAGGTCAGCAAAGCTTCACGCAGCCCCCCTGTTACCCACTGCTCCATGGGCAGCTCCGGCACTGTCTGCGGGTGGTTCCTGCTCGTCCGGACGGGTTTGCTCTGTGCTCAGGGCCAGGACTCGCTGCTCAGGGACAGCTGGAGGGGATGAGCACAGCCAGGTCTCAGCACCAGCTCTCTCGTCACTCAAGCAAAGCCCCCTGTCAGTGCTGAAGCCAAACGGGAAGAGGAGCTGGGGTTGGTCAGGTGCTCAATGAGAAGCTCCATGGCAGAGGATGGAAGAACTTCTTGGAGCGCCTGAAATCTGGGGCACCCAAAGAAGTGTGTGGGTGTTGGAGGTGCGGGCAGTGCTTCGCAGCAGGAGAGAGTGTAGAAGCAGGGCAGGGGGCCAGTTACCGAGCGGGCTCAGCCCCAGCCCTGGCCAGCGCTGAAGGCGGCTCTGTGGGGCGAGGACTGAGCCGTGCCCTGGCCGGCGCGGCGCTCCACGGGGTGACTCCCGGCAAGGGGGCGGCAGCTCTCATCGCCTCAGCGTTGCCTTCAGCCAGCTGGGCTGTGAAATTCCCCCTGACAGCTCAATTCAGAGCGGAGCCAGCAGCTTCCCAGTGACAGACGCATGAAAGGTGGGAGCGCTGGAGCCTGCCTAATGCAGGGGCTGCTCCCTCCGAGGCTGCCGAGGGGAGCCTGGGGGCAGGGAGCGCGCGCTGACCGTGGCCTCTGCTCTGAGGCTCCCTCTGGGCACGCGGGGTCTCCTGACCTCCCCATGCCCCGTCCCAAGCTCACAGCGTGACTGGGGCAGGCGCACTCTAGTTGCTCGCTGCTCACGAGCGGCTGATGAGTGTCACTCTAAATGACAGGGCTGTGGGGGCATGGGGGAGAGATGGCTAAACTGGAGACACTGGGTCTGAGCATCCACACTCCTGCTGGGCCCAGGCACACCTCTGTCAATCTCTAGCTGAGGTCTCTGCAATGATATCGCCAAAGGGGGAAAGCGTGGAGTGTGTTCGCCTCTCTTGTCGGGTTGTGCCCTCACTTCCCTCCTGCAGAAAGAGCAGAATCAAGGGCTCAGGCTCACAGTGCTGCCTGCTGTTAGGCAGCTGTGGAGAAGGGACAAAGTGTCATTGTTGGCAGTAGTGTCCTACAGAGATCATGAGCTGCTGAATGATTTCAGAAGTGTGCAATAAGGAGGCTCAGCTTTAGGATAGGCAGCTGAGCTGGGGAATCCTGGCCTAAGGACAGCCTGGAGCTGCTACCAAGGACAGAGCCAGTCCTGACAGTGATGCTTTGGGATCAGTGACCGTTGAGGGGGTGCCGCTGTGGCCAGGCCTTGGCGCACCTGGATGCACACACAGCGCCAGTACGTGCGCTCCTGGGGTGCATGCACACACATCCACACGTGTACACACACCCACACGTGTACACACACCCACACGTGTACACACACCCACACGTGCACACACACCCACACGTGTACACACATCCACACGTGTACACACACCCCCACGTCTACACACATCCACACGTCCTTTTTGGTTGATCCAGCAGTGGGCGCAGCTCTCCCTCCAACTCTCCCCTGGAGCTCCCACGCTATGTGGATACGTTGATGTTTAATCTGTTGGTTTAGCGCTCAACGCCCTCATGGCAGTGCGTTGTTTGTTGTTGTTTTCTTCTTTCCACCCTGGAGCCAAAAAGAAGGTCCCTGAGGGCCAGGAACAAGGCTGCAGCAGAGCTGGCAAGCAGGATGGGCTCCCCCTCTGCCCTCCCACCCTGCAAAGCAGCAGCCTGGTGTTGCACCCTTGCCCCTCATAGTGTCCCTTCCTCCCTAGGCATGATGCAGGTCCGGGGCCTCCTCCTCCTGCTGGCCTTGGTGCTCCTGACCGCAGCCACCGAGGCTGGCAAAAACAAGAAAGGTGAGTGGGACCCACCGGCGAGCACGCGCTGGGCCTGCTGGAGCGGGAGGGAGGCTCTGGATGTGCCCTGGGGGACTGCAGCGAGCCCTGGCTCCCCCTGCCCTTCCAGACAAGGGGAAGAAGAGCAGCTCTGAGTGCGAGGACTGGCGCTGGGGGCCCTGCACCCCCAACAGCAAAGACTGCGGCCTGGGCTACCGCGAAGGCACTTGCAAAGATGAGACCAAGAAACTCAAGTGCAAGATTCCCTGCAACTGGAAGAAGAAGTTTGGAGGTGGGTGGTTGCCCATTGCAATGGGGGCCGGCCAACCAGGGCCCCCTGCCAACCCCAGCCTGACCTCCAGGCCAGACCTCTGGCCTCCCTCTGGGAGGCTGGGATCCCGTCCTCATCCCGTTCTCATGTGTCTGACCTCTCTTCCAGCTGACTGCAAGTACAAATTTGAGAGCTGGGGTGGGTGCAGTGTCCAGACAGGGGTGAAAACCCGCTCAGGCGTCCTGAAGAAAGCCCTGTACAACGCCCAGTGCGAGGAGATTGTCCATGTGACCAAGCCTTGCTCTTCCAAGATCAAGTCCAAGTCCAAAGGTCAGTCTGCAGCGCTCCTGACCCCCGAGGGCGCAGTGGCCATGGGCAAGGGGGCAAGGCTAGCGCTGCAGAGGGCATAGCACCGCTGCATGCGCCAGGCCCAGACATCTCAACGGTGGAACGCAGGTGTCTCTAGGCAGAACCCTCTTCCTCCCAGCTCATCTCCAGCCTCCGTGGGATGGGTATTTCCCTATGTGCCTCCACATGGCGAGGGCAACGCGTGGCTTTGTGTGGTGGGATGAGGCTGCCGGGATGTGACTTGTCAGCATGTGGGGCCTGCCCGTGCTCCCCGCGCGCTGGTGGCGCCCGTGCGCGTTCCCTGCTGCTGCGCGTCTTTCTGCCAAGGCCGAGCACGGGGAGCAGCTGGTGCTGCCGGCAGAGGCACTAACTCTTGTCTCCTTTTCTTACTGCAAGCAGCAAAGAAGGGCAAGGGGAAGGATTAGCCTGGGAAGACCCCATCCTCGCCTCCACCTCCTTGACACGGAGCCTGCGCGATTGGAAGAACAGGCCACCCGCGCTGCAGCCAGGCCCCGCTGCTTGGCAATGCCTTGCTAAATGCCAGTCTTCCTCCTCCTCTTCCTCCTCCATCACCTCCTCTTTGACTGAGGTGCCTTGTTCTACTCACTAGTTTATAGAGAGCAAACCCACTCCCTTCCCGCAGAAGGTGCTGTCTCTTGCCTGCTGCTCCAGTGGCACTGTCCGTGCATTCCCCTCTCTCATTCTTTGGGTATATTTAAAGGTTTTCTGGGATGCACATTAGAATGAGGCTTCTTTCCGTCTCCTCGCTACAGGTGCCAGAGCTTCCTGCAGCAGCTGGGAGAAAGAAAGACATTTTCCTGCCTGGCCCACATATCCCCTTCCCTCCTCTCCTCTGTCCTGTTTCGCCTCTGTGTCTTTGCACCAGAGCTGCTGCCTCTCTGCCTTCAATGCTCTGACTGGTGCTGGGTGGGAGCTCTCTTTTTTTAATGGGGTTTGTTTGCTTTTCCAATAAAAATCTTAAAAAAAAAAAATCAGAGCCCAACTATAGTCCTTACATTGTACTGCTGTGCTGGAAACCCCAGACACTGCTGTGCAGGCCGGGTCCTTGCTCCCGGCATGAGGAGGAATACTGGATCTGCTCACAGCAGGGCTTTGCTTTTCCTTTTTTAACCAAGGGCCAGCATGGGAAGAGAACAAGAAACGAGGCTGAAAGTCCTCAGTCAGCTGCAGCACCTTCGCAGGAGCCCTGCAGTGCCCGTGCGGAGGCAGGAGCAGGGGCAGTGTGGGCTAAGGGACGGTGCCGCTGGCCGTGAGACCTGCTGCAGGCAGGCTGCATCCGTGGTTCATCCCCCACCAACCCCTTTGCAAGGAAGGAAATTTCCCCTGGAGCTTCAGATGTTTCCCAGGGCTGTTCATCTGCAACGTGTCACGAGCTCAGGCCTCTGGCTGCACAACCCCACAGACACTGGGGCAGATGCGACGGGCTGGCATGGAGTGAGTGTGAGTGCAGCCGGTCTCTCCTGCAGCCCCCCAGGCAGGCTGGCACCTCCGGCCCGGCGCAGGATCCCACAGCAGGCGGATACCC